CTCTCTTTTTCATCTGAATGCGAAATGCTGAAAAGTTTCCATTGTGTATGATTATTATTGTTCGGAATACTGTTCAATATTACAAATATGTAGGTATATATTATTACTGTATGCATATATTGATGGAATGATTTTTGTTTAAAATGAACTCTGTGCAAGTATGTTAAAATTGTTTTGTAGCAGGCGACGAGAAGGTAACGAAATAAAAGATGGTACCATTTTATTCTGCTAAAACTGTAGTTCTTGCTATGTTCAAAAAGTTATTTCGTGGCTCCGGCAATTCATTATAACCAAGTCAGGTAGGAGAACAGTTACTCGCCGATGGCATTGACTGGTGGCTGCGCCATGTATATATATATATATATATACATATATTTATATTGTAGATCAGCCGAAGTTGAAATTCATGGGCCATTCGATGGGTGTCCCAGTGGCTGAATAGTCTACAAGCTTGCGTTGTAATCGGAATGACTTGGGTTCGAGTCCGGTGGGTGATATCCTGATGAAGAGTCACAAACAAGGGCTAAATAGTTGGACAGTTTCACTGTTAGATAGATAGGATAGTTATAATTAGGTAATGTGGACTTCATCTCGGTCAAATGGAGTCTTTGTTTTTTTTGATTGCTTTCCTCTGCAGTGTAGAGCAATTGTGCAGTTTCATTTCATTCAGTAATCATTGTGAAAAAAAAATTGAGGGAAATATTTCTAGCTGAGATGAATTTTTGTGGCCTTGTTATATTCTCCAAGCTGGAGGGTTTACTTCTTAGAGTGGCGCTGGTGATTTCGTCCACACGGATAATGAAAACTTCACAATGATTTCCGTGCATTACCGATATAATTGTTATTCAAGTTCTTAAGAAATTAGTCCTACATCGTTGTTGGTAAACACAACACAACCATTCTCACCAAACACTAATTTATGATTGTGAATAGATTTTTAATGATTACAGGATTTCGTCATGAGCTGACACTGGTTACAGAACTATTGGAAAACCTGGGAGTACTGGACAGCCATTCCGTCAGCCTAGTTTGGGGATCTTCATCAGTACGCACTCACCGGGGTTCGAACCCAGGACCTTCAGGTTACAAGGCAAGCTCATAGACCATTAAGCCACTGGAACCCGATCCAATAGCCCAGGAGGTCCCGGATCCGAACCCCGGTGGGTGCGTACTGATGAAGAGCCTTAAACTAGGCTGACGAAACAGCTGTCCAGTACTCCCAGGTTTTCCAATGGTTCTCTAACCGATGTCAGCTCATGATGAAATCCTGTAACCAATCAAATCCCTACATACCAACACTTGAAGATTTCTTATGAGTACGACATTGTTCAGTTAACATGGAGTATTTGTGTGTCCGTGATTAATTCCGTTGACCAGAACTTTGTCCAGCTACAAAAGACTCATTTCACATTTGCTGCATTACATTATCTCACTCATTCTGTCGGTGAAAATATCCAGCTGTCCATCAAACAGCGTAGGCGCTGCACACCATTTCGAATCGTCCTATTTCTCAGTTATGAAATATCATATGTGTGAGTAGAATACATGGAAGGATTACGGTTGTTTTTAACTATTACGTATGTAACATGTTGTTATTTGATGGATGGATGGTAATTACCACTGGAATCCAGGGTGCGTGTTTCGTCCTATTTGGGACTCATCACTACCCAGCAAATAACCCATATATTAATTCTCAGACGTTGTTGAAGCATCCGTACGAGTTGACATGGTGGCATAATCAATCAACGCGTAATATTATTTTATAGAAATCTTATTCCCCTGCATTCCACGTGGAACATAGTCCTTTAAGCTTGTGCTTTGAAGTTTCAATAGCATTGGTATTGGGTTTTTTTACAGGATGAGGTGATTAGCCTCACACCGAACCTTCCCTCTTTACTGGACTTATTACGAGATAGGCTAGGTTAAGGAGTGCGTCAACCAGGCGTCGAACCCTGGAGCAAGTGTGTCGTTGCTGAGATCCCCATCGCTAAACCACTGATGTACAGTCTACGCGAAATACAAAAGTGGATTGAACAAAATTGGATTGCTCAAACAAGGCACAGTAAGATAGATGGTAAGGGATGTTGAAAGGTCACAAGAACGTAACGTTAGGAAGAATAAATATGCCACCTGATTAAGTTCTTTTCTTCAGTTTTCATAAATAATTGTTTAATATTTTATACCTCATGAAAAACATGAAAATGCCTGTGGTATTTCAAGCAGCTCTCTACAGTAGTACTGCATATACAAATCGAGTCAATCATTCCTTACATTACTACATTGTGATTGATTTGCTGCTGTTGTTGTTATTGTTTGACAAGGAATAATTGTGATATGTCTATCTAAATATAGTCTGGCGCGTGATTTGAGCGCATTAATCATTCTCTCTCTCCCCTGTGTGCACTTTTCGTAACTGTTATTTTTTTGTTTTCCGTATTTATCACTGAGTTGATTGAATGCCACGTACTCCTACAAAAGTGTGTGTGCATACCAAAAACTATGTGAGAATGATTTTTTCCAGTTTATGAGTAATACAAGACTGTGTATTGCATTGCATTGTACAGGTATTAGTTAGAATCTTTTGCTTGCATCACGCAAGTTCGCCGTATGTAGGGGTTTCTTTCTAGAGGCTCTACTTGTAGGTAAGATGTGGTAGTGATTGATTGTTATGCATAATTCGAGCATATCAGTTGTAATTAATAGTGTTCTCTGAACTGGTTGGTTTAGTTGCGGAGCTTTCGTCGTCATTCTTGACAACATCTTCAGCGCAATATTTAGCATAAAGTGAAATGATTTTCTTCATGAGTGATATAATTGCGTCTCCTGGTAACCATCTTTACATATGTATTGACCATTTTCTATTGACTTGGATTTTAAACTTTTTGGTCACTTGATTTACTTTTTATTAGTTGGTATATTTCGTCTATATTAACGTGTTTGTTAATTGCATTTTCGTTTGAGTACCAGGCTTCTAGGAATTCCCTGACTGCACTTTTGGTGTTTCCTCTGTCTAAGATCTCGACATTATCCCAATCAAATTGATGACCATAATTGTCTATATGCATTGATACTAAAGAATACATATCGTGTCTTTTCACGGCTGATTTGTGTTCTTGGATTCTAATTCGAAGGGGACGCCCACTTTGGCCGATGTAATGCTTGTTACAGTTCATACAATTTATTTTGTAAATGGTATTAATTTTATCTCCTTTTTCTGTTGGATCTTTCGGTTTGCATAATATCGAATTAAGCGATTTTACTGGTTTGTGTGCTATATCTATATCAAACAGTTTCAGTATTCTAGCTGTTATTTCAGAGATATTTCTCATGTATGGTAGGATGAATTTTCTTGTGGTCTTTGATGATGATTTCTTGTTGGTGTTTTGATTCGACTTTAAACACTTTTTGATAAAATTTTGCGGATAACCATTCTTTTTGAAGACCGTTTGAAGGTATTTTTCTTCCATTCTTTTCAACTCTGGAGTGCTACAATGTGTTTGAACTCTTTTAAACAATGTCTGCACACAGTTTCCTTTGTGAGAAATGGGATTATTGCTACTGTAGTTGAGTATTTGATCTGTGCGCGTTGATTTTCTATATACTTGTGTTTCTAAATTTCCTGTGTTGGTTCTCCTGATTAAGACATCTAAAGACATCTAAATCTCATAATATCAGTTGTAATTTATCTGAATCGAAATTGTCGAAACATATAAAGGGAACTAATTGTTTCAAAAAATAACAGTCGTTTTTTCGGTTACAAGATTCTAAATGTGTTTATGTGAATTCATAATTGATTTTTTTTTGTGGACACTGTTGAAACTTCCGGTTACGTGAGGTAGATACTGAAGCGGCATAACCTTTTATTCAGTCTGCATATTTTTGTGGACAAACAAATCCGACGCTATCAGCTTTTGAAGCGAGCAGATCTAGCGACTCTTGTTTCATGATGTGCAGTGTAACCTGTATGAATGTTGTGAATGTGAAAACTCTCCTGCTAGTGTTTGTTTGTGATGATAATAGCCCTGAAATCAATAAAATCTTACACATGTAACAGAATAGCTTCAAGCATGTGGTTTGCAGAGATTTGTTTGGTCACAGGTTTGATCACCAGCTTACTTCACAATTAGAGGATCAAGGATTACTGGACAGTTGTTTCGTTCTAGTTTAGGAGTCTTCAACAGTACACGCTGGCCCAAAAGCGACTGGCTCGATACAGGGAGTTACCTGGAGTTCTAGCAGGGTGCACCAAATCAGGTAAGGGGACAGTTACGCCTATAACACTGGCCGACGATTGTGCTATATGTATCGCAAATTGGTGGAATTTTGAATTCACAGGTCATTGTATGCGGATCCCAGTGGTCGAATGGTCTAAGAGCTTGTCTTGTAATCGGGAGGTTGTGAGTTCGAACTCCGGTGAGTGGGTACTGATGAAGAGTCCCAAACGAGGACGAAACAGGTGTCCAGTACTCTTAAGTTTCCCAGTGATTCCTTGACTGATATCAGCTCGTAATCAAACCTGTAAATCAGTAAAAATTCGTTGTACATTGCATTAGGCTTCAACCGGTGGATCGTCATTGACATTTTTTATTGGTTCTAGGTAACTGATCAAATCAGGTTTGATTCATTATAGTAGTGACTCGGTATGTGGGGAAAATTGTCTCAGCCACCTTCATGACTTACTATTCACCCTCTGTTAACCTCGAATCGGTCAAAAGTACATAGTGCTAAAAGAAAAATAGCTTCAAAAATTGATCGCAGATCGGTTTTCTCAAATTCCTACTGATGGATCTATGCCAGTTGAATATTGTATATTATCATTATTATTTGTTAGAACTGTTCTTTTTTCATTCAACTTTTTTGTTCCTGCTATTGACTTTAATTATTCCCCTTTCCGTAAACGAAATACGTGAAGTGTTGCCTGTGAAATGTTTCATTTCTGAATGTGAATTATAATTTTCCTTTATTAGTTTGTCTATTCTTGTTGTTTATCCCGTGTACAGGTTTGTAAAGTTCATAACTCCTGGAAAAGAAAGGTTATTCTTACAAATTACTTGCTTAGTTCTTCAACATTTCATTTTATGATTTTACGTGTATTATATTCCCTTAATCCTCTTAGCCCCTATATATGTAAATAGTAGACTTATCTAAAGATTGTCTTTTGCAGTGGATTTTGATTTTTCTACTCGGTGGTTATCTAACCAGAATTTTGACACACACACACACACACACTACTTGAATCAATAAAGTTAACTTTGATAGAGAAGATTTGTAGCTCAGTTGGATGATTTTGATGTGGTTGTGTTCTCTGAGCTGGATAGTTAATTTGCGAAGCTTTCATCGCCCTACTAGGCGACATCTTCAGCGCATACTTCAGATACTTCAAATTGAAGCAAACTTTGTTAAAACAAAAAAATAATATACAGCATAATAACCCAATATTATATACATTCGTGTAGAACTCCTCCCCAATACTACATGGGTGTGGCAGTCGAAAGCGGGTTCAAACGATTGACCGATTACGGTAAAATCGATAGCCTAGTCAGTCGACTGTAACAACTATTCACAGATGATCAGTTGTGGTGTTTAGTTATCTGGTGTAGATATTTAATTTCTAACTAATATATTTTATTCATTATAGTAAAGGTTTTTGTATTTCCCAATGAATGAAAAACAAAATGATATTGTTTTTACTGACGTTTTTCAAACTGTTAAAAGTGAGCTTAGTTTGGACATATATATATAATATATTTTATTATTGTTTATTATTGTTATTATTTTATTTCCTTACGTTCCCAGTGGAACATAGAGCTTCTTCAACCTAGAGCTTTGAAGTTTCGGTAGCAGTGGTGTTTATTTTCATGGGATGGGGTTGCTAGCCACATGCCCAACCTTCCCTCTTTAGCTTTCTTATTAGCGGCTTACCGAGGTAAGGAGTGAATCGTCGGCCCGGGATCGAACCCCAGACCACGTGAAGCGTGGTTGGTGAACTAATATATATATCGGGTTCATCTCCATTTTGGTTATGTTTTTAAGTCTTGGCAGTCATTTTACGTTATTATCCGTAATATGTCAAGAATAGCTTATGATGTTGTAATATATTATTTTCGAACAGGTAATTATATCATATAATGTATCAGTTATGAGTATTACACTGACAAGACACTTATTTTCGCTTGTGTATGTTTGTTTGAGCGGAAGAGGGGGTTGTATACATGGCTTAGTGTGTTCTAATGCTTCACCTTATTGACTGTTAGCAACTTGATTACTGACAAAAGTGGCGACATGACTTCTTTCATTTTATTACTGTAGTGTGATGCAGATTGATAGGAAGCGGTAAGAAAAAACTGAAATCGATATTTTGAGTCGATAGTTGTAAAGATGGAAATATTTATTCCTCAAATCTGAAGCTAGTTTACGTTGTGGACATGAAATAACCTCACTGGACAGCTTGTTTAACCTTGAGTTAATTGCCAACCAATCAGAACAATGTATTCTCCTCTGATATGGCCGAACTTTAATGTGGCTAAGAATGTATAAATATGACGTATTATTCTTTAATAAAGATCCGTTACCAAGTCTCTTATCGTCTCCCTTGGCAATATGACGTGTAAAGTATTCAACTGTCTGTTGAAGAGCAAGCTTAATTATCATTGATCTATATCAGATGTTATATAATGTGACCGAAACAAGGAGTAGCTCTTAACATTAATTGCAAGTTAGGTAGTCGGAGGCTGTCGGTAGGGAGCTCTGCACCTAGGTTTGGCTGCTTCCGCATGCGATATCTACAAATCTGGAGAAGCTGATGCCGCCATGGAGCTTCGAACCTGTGTTTCCCAGTGCTGCGGTTAGAGACGTTAGCACTGAACTATTTTGGCACGAAACTTAGATCCAGGAATTCATTTCTCCAACATATGTAGCAGTCAAAAATGCACGCCATGGCGAATCACTTATCTTTTAAAGTTAACTGACTGCAATTAATCGGTACTAAGACTAGAAGCTAAACCCACGACATTCCCTATATTGTAGTGCATTGATTATATGCTTTTGAGTCATCTCGTAAGAGATAAGTTTGGTTGGGATCTCTAAACAAACAAGACAGGTTAGTTGATAAAGTATGAAAGTAACTGTGACTTGATGACGTTCTGCTTTACAGATGAAATTTATTGCCCAGTGCGTCGGTGGCACAGTGGTTAGGACTCTCGCCGACCATGCACATAATCCGGGGTTCGATCCCCTGCCGACGCACACCCGATATCTATGGTCGGCCTGCAAAATTTGGGCTACCGATATCCATGCTGAAAATTCCATACCTGTACTGAAAATACGGTGTGGCATCAAGCTGCAATAAAAAAAATCATTTATATATGTATATATATATGAATTAACCATCTGTAGTTATGGTAATGTGAAGTGAACGGGTAGTGTGTTAGATTCCATACTGTCAGTATTTTCCTGTCTGACCAACTGATCGAGTAGCATATAATCTCGGATCAGGCTTCACAATATGAAATACACATTGAGGTAGAAAATAGGTTATTGATAATGAGGAAAAAAGTGTATCATAACTAACATCAGTTAGAGGGGTCTTCGATGACCAGGAAGCGAGCACTGGACAGCTCTTTCGTCGTATTCTGGGGCTCTACCGGGATCACACCCCGGGACCTTCAGGTTACGAGTCGAAGCTTGTTAACGATTCAGCCACTTGGGTTCAGTCCCTGGTGTGATTGTGGATGCGTACTGACGAAGAGACCCAGCATAGGACGAAACAGTTTGTCCAGTGGTCTCTGGTTCTCAAAGACCCCTCAAACTGATATTAGTTCGTGTCGAGATCTAACAAAGTTGAAATTAAATTAATCCAAATCTCCACAGATCCCATAATCTAAAGTTATCTTTTCCTTTATAAAAAATCCTTCATTCGCTCTTGGACATCTTACACCGACTTATACTTGTGCATCATCTTCCAACTCTTCATATGCATTGTTTGTATTGAGTCATGTCAGACGACTCAAAGTTGTTTTTCCCATGTGAATTGCCATTGCTTCTGAAGTTTGAAGGAGTCTGATTCGTGCTCTATTAGCAAGATTTCCACATATCCTGTTGATGGTTGGAGGCAATCAGAAGGAAGCCTTGAACCTAGGTTTCGTGCTAGTTGGCACTCGTCAGCAAAGCGTATCTACAACTTTGAAGGAACTCATGTCCCTTCTGAGATTCGAACCCGCGTCACCCAGTGCTGCAATCAGAGACGTTACCACTGAGCTATTCGGGCTCGCGATTGACCTCCTGTTGGACTGTATTGGATATTTTTGATTGCACACTAGTCAGTAAATAGAGTAGTGTGTCGTCTCTGACTGCAGCACTGGGTCTGCAGCGGAGATAGGACTAGACACATTATACAAGTGTGCAATCGAAAAGACTCAAAGTTGTGTTGTACTCCTCTTTGTTGTTTAACTAATAAAATATTACTGTGGCAATTCAAGAAACTTAAAGCTAAATGGAAATGGAATGTTCCATGTTAGTAATACTGAAGGTTATTTAAAGTTAAGGACAGGTTTATTCTCTAATCTGTGACCATCACTACTAAAACGTTTTTAGGTAAGGTTTCAGTTGCGTGTAGACTTATAAAAAAGCTGCAAATTCGTGAGATGTTTGCACATTCTTGACTCAGTACTTATCGGAGAGGAATTTATATTCTTGATGTCAGTGAATTAAATTCTCTGATATTCATAGTATGAGAGGCGTACAACAGTATATATGTATATATATATATATATATATATATATGTACATACAAACATCTGTAGTTAAAGACTGTTAGCCTTATCATAACTTCCATTTCCAATGTCCATGTTTTATAGCCATAAAGACGGGCAAAGGGAACTTTGGCGTAGAAATCATTTGATCGATATCTAGATATCATGTCTACGCTAGAGATGATGCAATTTGGGGGAAACGCCACACCAGCGTTTTGTATCTGCGCATGTATATATATATATATATATATATATATATATGCATGCTCCACTATCTTCACATCTTAGTGTTAATAGTGAGTGGTCTTATTTTCACTTACACAGGTGATTTCCTAATCCTTTTTGGAAAATGAAAACTCAATTCTTTCAAGTTATATATTTTGTTTCTGTAAAGTTTTATTGCTGTGATGTAGCAAGTCTTTTGTTTTTCTAATCTGAACGTTAATTTTTCTCTTTGACAACATTGTTTACCCCTTCATTTTTTTGGTTAGATTTGTTTTGTTTTTGCTAAATGGTGGTTTTCAAACAAATATTATGAAAGCTTTAAACTGGTAGTTAAAAATTATTATTTTATGTTTTCGGGTCTGATATATTTTTTTCTTGTTGTAGGACAGTTTTTATTATGTTAGCTCTTTTCCTCTCTCTCTCTCTCAGTCGTCTTAAAGTCACCACTATAATTAGACTTGTATCAGTGTACTTCAAGGGGTATATGAGCAGTAGTGATGTTAAACACAGGTAAAAATGATGCCTTCCATCTCCCACATTAGTCGTACTTCCTGACTGTGTGAATCTTCATTTTGACAGAGTGACCTTAGAGCATACCTAGAAGTTGTTATAGTGTTCTTCAGTATTTGTTATACTGTCTAATAATTACCGACCTGGAGTAATATCAGGAAGCAGAGATTGAGAATCGGCTGTCTCATAGCGACGTATGGTGTGGAATGCGGGTTGTTGAATAATTATACATATATATTACGAATGTTCAACACATGTTTGAATTTTATTTCGCTTTTTTTCTTTTTTGGTTAGCCATTTTTATTTAATCATGTGTGAATAATATTCATTTAGACAAAAAAAATCTAATTGGTTTTGATCTTACCGATTGCCGCCTTTTCTTCGTATATGTTTGGAGTTACATGCACATATGTGAGGTCTGTGTGTGTGTGTGCGCATCAGTGTTTTTATGTGACCATTGTTGTTACATAACGATTCTGTTTTTTTTCACTTGTTGTTTTCTTTTCATTTTTGTCTTTGATATTTGTCCCCATCTTATTTTATACCAA